TTTTCAAAAAACGTAAGGTCATAGAAAGTTGACATTTGTTGTGCCATATAACTTTTTCCTTTATAATTTTTTTCTATTGTTACTTAAAAAAAAGTTATTACCCGCCTCTGTTCCAAGAATCACCCTGTATATGTTCTATCATAAGTATTAACAATTTTGTATTAACATTATCACTTACCTTACATTCTAACATTTTATACAAGATCTAAAAATATTTGTAAAAATAATCTAATAAATATCAATTAAATTCTTATCACTTGACTTGGTAACAAACTTTTCCTTAGAAATACCAAAGTGTAAATCTATCAGATGGGAAGAAAAAAAGAAATGGTAGTAAGAATATTGGAGAAAAAGGGAATCATTCAGTCCGTCGGCCCGTCTGGGAGAGAGTGAAAGGACACGAAAACGTGACGATGGGAATAGAAGGGGGATGAAAAAAAAGAGAGAGAGAGAGAATCAAGATCGGTTCAGGACCGGTGCTACTCTCGCCATGCTGTGCATCCTGAATGCCCAGATGCTTTCTAATAGCCTTAATGAAGTGTGCATTGCTCGTGTATACTGAGTTAAAGAGCGGCGTCATAACGACACTAATTTTTAAGCATAACCGTACACTCAGCTTCACAACGTGTGAACACTCGAGAGTTCTAAAAAATAAAATTAAAAAAAAGAAAAAATAAAATAAGAACAAACGTGGTCTCTCGCTCTTGCATAAAAAATATCTACGAAAATCTCAACAGGAGATCCCTTTATCGTACTTCGATTTCTTTTGCAAAAGAAAAAATCGAATTTGACCTTCGAAACGATTGAAGAATTTTGTTAGGGGTCTATTGTAAAAATGAACAAAATTGGAATAATTTTTGTGAGTGTTAGTAATTTTTGTATATTCTTCATCTTTTTTTATTTTATCCTGCTTTTTCTTGCTTTCTTTTTGAAAGTTTCACGATAAATCCCTCGAGTGTTATAATATATATATATATATATATATATATAGAACCTACGAAAGCGAGAATAGGAATTGAAGTTAAAGAGAGAAAGTGGAACACAGGGTGGATACCTCTGATGTGCGTTCAGGAGCAAAGAAAAACGTCCGTCGGTGTTTTATTAATTCTAAACTCAAAGAGATATTTATCTTCTCTCTGGGTTTTCGTGAACGAACGAAGTGCTTCCACGAATAAAATCCCAACTACCGAGGCGATTATTATTACACAGACATAATGTTCATCCGTTAAAGGGCCACTCGAAGAAGTTATATAGTATGTGTGTGTATATACAATTGCAGCATTAATATCCCGCACTCGTGTCTGCATTCTCTCTCTCCCTCTCTCTCTCTCTTTATTTCTCTCTATTTCTCTCTATCTCTCTCAATCACTCATTAACTCTCTATCTCTTTTTCTCTTTACATAATAGAATTTGAAATCGTTGAATGAATTGCTACTTGCTAATAATTGTTCCAATTAAATCCTACTTTGATAACGTTATGTTCTTCATACATTTATACGTTTAAATGCGTACGAATATATTAGATATTATTTTGTGAATTATGTTATGAAGACAAAATCAGTAATACTAATTACGTAAAATTCATGAAAGTATAATGTTATTGATCATTGAATTTTAGGACACTTTATAAATAATATATAATAATTCAAATAAAATATTTAATGAATATACAAAAATATAGAACATTTCTTTAGGGAAACAAAATTATATATTGGATTATTTTATTTTATATATACTCTTTTTAAATATTTTAAACATATAATTATGCAATCCTAATAAACTCGAACCTATTCTACTAACCCTTCAAATCAATTTCAAATCATGTCAAGTTTTTTATTACTTTTAGCAAACATAAAATATTCTACTGATCCTTAATTTACAACCTATCTATACAGTTCAACGTTTCAATTCCAAAATGTTGCTATTAATTTGACGTTGATAACAAATTGGAAACAAATAAAGAATCGTTCATTGAATTTATTGCAGTAGGTGGAGAAAACAAAATTGATACAAATGATTAGAAAAAGAAATTTAAATAAAAGAGAAGAAAGTAAAGAAAAGAAAAAAGAAAAGAGCATATATTTGTGTATGTGTGTACATGTGAGATGATAGGAAGAGATGCGTGGAAACTAATCGGGCTTTTTTTAGAGAGCACCTTTCCCTTGGCAATCGCCGGCATAATAAATACCATTAGCAACGTTGGATAATTTTCTCGCGGTGGTCTTAACGTCGTGTGCTTATTCATTCGCATAGTCGCACTCTTCCTCTTAGTTCTCATCCATCTCCCTCCTTCTTTCTCACCTCCTCTTACTCCTCCTCCTTCTCCTTCTACTCAACCAACTGTTCCTCTTATTCCTCATCGTCGTCTCATCGTAGAAGAAAGAAAGACGCGTTTTCCAAGGCGAACGAGGGAAGAGGTTTATTCCCGCGGATGGACTAATTGATGTCATTCAGGGTGTCATTAACGTCGGTTCGTCGTCGTCGTTGTCGTCATCGTCGTAGTTATGTATCAACTCCTAGTGATTTTCTCGCAACACTACCAAAGAGTACCCAACACCAACAGATACAGTAGCTAGTACCCAGTACCCAGTAGCAAGAGAAATCTTTTCAGACCGCTCATTCGCCACTTCTCGCGACTTTCCGTTTCTCGAGGGCAGAACGTGCGCTGAGTAAAAGAGAGAGAGAGAAAGAGAGAGAGAGATAGATAAAGAGAAGTGTCGAAGGACGAGTGAGTGAGTGAGTGAATGAGTGAATGAGTGAGAAAGAGAAAGAGAGAGGTGGAAGAGTGAAGTGAGCATATTACTATTGAGAATAAGTACCTGGCTTCGAGATAGGGGCTGCACTCGGCGTATAAGGAGGGATGGAGTAACGGCACACGAAGGTGGTAGCGATTGTGGTGGTGGTGGTGGTGGTGACGGGGGTGCAAATGGGGTGGTACAATGGGCACTAATGGATCTCAAGCCGCCGCGAGAGGCGCTGCTTTTAATCTAATTGTCCTTGGTAGCCCGTTGCGATCGTGATCAGTGGTATTCAACGCTGATCCCTTGTCTACTCCGAAAACTACGTCGCCCGTGGAAAAAAAAAGAAAAGAAAAGAAAAGAGAGAGAGGAAGAAGTAGAGTGAAATAAAGAAAAGGAAGGAAGGAAATAAAAAGAGAGAAAAGAGTGGGACGAATGAGAAAGTGTTTCTCGATTAGCGATAGAAAAAGAAAGAATGAATGAAAGAAAGAGAAAAAAAGATTTATATGTATATATGTATGGTTCAAATTGAAAGGCTTTGTATTCGAAATACATTTTTAACGATAAGATCTTCCACCACCGTCAAATGAACAGATCGATTGTTGAAAAGGAATTTGTTAAACGTCGAATGGAAATGTAAAGCGAGAGTAAGCGAAGTAAGCTTACGAGTAAATGTGACCGAAAAGCCGAAGTGGACGGAGGAGCGTTTCTTTTCTCCTACTCTAGTGGTTCCATTTAGCAGAACTTTACAGCATTATGCGACACGATTGTTGAGCTAAAAGTATACGAAAGTGTAGACGTTAGCTCAGGAAAGGGAAGCTAAAGTCTATTCTCTTATTCGCGAATATGTTGGAATATATATTACGTATATACACGAGTATGCATCAAAATGGGTTGACGAAATTTGTCAAAGAATAGGAATGTATCATCCCCCGTTTCGTTGACACCATCCTCCAAAAACGTATAATGAAAAAAATTTTGATTGGACAGAAAGAAAAAAAAGAAGGGAGTTCATCGGATTCCCTTCTTTTTCTTTTTTTTTTTATCGAAACTTACCGGTCTTATCGTATAGCTCGATCTTGTGAAAGATAGTACAACACGATGATGATTGTCCTACGAGTAACGTGCAGGTGTCGTCCAACGTCGATTGCGATTGGTGTGTTGATGATGTTCTCTACTACTCCAACTACTACTAGTAGCAATAGTGGTAGTAGTAATAGTAATAGTAATAGTAGTAGTAGTAGTGGTAGTGCAATAATCGGTTGACGAGCTCACTCGGTGTACATACGCTTCGAAGCCGACACACAACTCGAACCAGCGATAAAGTTAATTCACGGGACGCGAGAAGCGCGAAGCCGGCGTTGGTCGTCGTTACGACAGATAAATTTCCGATAACGCGAATAAATTGGCCCGATTGTAATTGCCATTGTGCGTGTTACCGGTATAAACCTGGATGAGCTTCGTTCATTCGTTCTTTTGGATCGTCCCGTTCCTCCCCCTTGTCTCTTTCGCTCTCTTTCTCTCTCTCTCTTTCGGTTAAATAGCGAGGGTGGAAAAAAGAGAGAAAGAGAAAGAGAAAAAGAGTGACAAAGGGGGAGGGGGGAGGGAAATAGGGGAACAACACGATCGAACGACACCACCAACGACGTTTACACGAAGACTCGTGGGAACGTGGTCCTCGTGCACAAACGTGTGTGAACCGTCCCACTCCCTTTTCACTCCTTGTCACCATACTGTTCGTGTAAATCGTGGGGACAATCCGAAATTCAGGAAATTGTCGTAATGACGGAGCCGAAACGAGACTGGCTATAAAATCCTACTATGATTAATGATTCGAAAAGCTATTTTGTCCTGGACGCATTTTTTCATAGCGAGAAAATCACATAAGAAAATGAAGGTATCGTTTGTACGACCTACAACCCACTCCCACTAACGACAACCCCCCTTCCATTATTCGCCTATCACTTACTTTCAAAAGCTATAATCTTTCGACGATCCGATTTCGAAGTCGATAGATGTGTTTTTAGTTTGTACTTGATGTGTTTTCTTGTGTTTCATGCTTTTTTTGTCTTTGTTTCCCAGTAGTATATGGCATGTAATCCTCACAGGAGAGATCGACAATTGGTTAAAGGGAAAGAAACAAATGGTGATTATTTTTCTGCTTGTAACACAAAGGAAGTATAAACGATGTTAAAAAAAAAAAAAGAAAAAAGAGAGGTAGTAGAAATACATCGTTTTTTGATATTATCTGTTCTCATATATTTTTTAACATAATCGGTTACCTACATATTTACATAAAGAAAACCACCATTTCATCACCATCATCGTCATCATCATCATCATTATCATCATCATCGTCGTAATTATAATCATCACTGTTTGCGAGTTACACCTGTACTACATAAGTATTATCACACAGGTGTGTAATTTTACAAAATTAACGGACTCCTCCAATCCACCCACGAGATTTGTTGTTATTTAAAGTATTCTCTTCTTCTTCTTAATTTCTTTTCGTTTGCTTTTTTTAAACAGTCCATTCTCGCGTTCGGTTTCTATGCATAAACGACGCAAAGTTCGTTCTAAGAGCGAATCGCGTGTTTTCTCTCACTCTTTCTACATGTTTACATTTACACTTTGTAAATACATACATACGTGTGTCCCAATAAACGCGACACCGAGCAGGAGTCTTGCATGAACGCGATATCTACTACATCTTTATGATATCGACATATGCAAAAGGACTACGACGGTGACGCGAACATCAACGACGGCTTACTTGATTGCGTTGTAAGTCAATGCCGACATTAAAGTACACGTAGCAGTAGTAGTAGTAATAGTAGTAGAAGTAGTAGTAGTGTAGTAGTAGTAGTAGTAGTAATGATACTACGTATCCATGCATATTATTTATGTTACGGATTGTCCATGTGGAAATAGAATTATCATTCCTTTTTTTATTTTTCTTCTAGACCTCATCTTGGGACTTATTATGGCTCCAACCAATCACAGTAATTAATTTGTTCGTTTGATTACCACCAAGTCCACTGAATTTACTTCGATAGCAATCACCAAAATGAAAAATCAAAGAACAAATCGACGTTCCTCATTTAAATTTGCTTATTAATTATCCGCTTTACGTATAATCTCTTCAGCCTTAACTCTGAGAACCTCAGCGCTTTGTCTTCTGATTTCATCTTCCGACGACGAGTCGTCTTCCTTTTCGTGCTTAGAGCTCAAATTTTGCGGCAAATTTTGTACACCAAGATTCAATGGATGTCCGTGTAAATGATTCCCTAATGTATGGCCATTAACGTTGTTGTGGTTTAACGAAGACGCTGCAGGATTTAAACCAACCGGTAGGACCGTGCTCAAAGACGCCAAATTTTGCGGTAAAGGTAAACCAATATACTGCGAAAGAATCGCATGCAACGGTGGTAATTTTGGTGCGCTAGCTGGCCAAGGGGGTGGAAATACCGGTGGTATGAACCACGGGAAGGCTCCGCTTGGTGGACCCGATGGATCCGCACCTGGTACACCACCGGCCGATTGGAGTAACCGTGCGTGCAGCGACAACTCGTTCACACCTGCAATCACACGGTAATATAACGTTTTCTTTTTCTATTTTGTTAGTTTTGTTGTTTGGGAGGATTTTTAAGAAAGAGAACTTTTTCCTTAAAGCGGAATTTTTAATTAAATAAACTATTAATTAGTTTTTTGTTTCTTTTCTTTGAACTTCTCCAAACTAATTCCTCGCCCTACCCAACCCTCATCGTGTTTCTGTGACAAATGCAGAAACATTATTAGTTTTATAAAAAATTAACGGACCTTTACTTCCGTCGAACGCCGACCGTCTTGCAGATCGGATTCCACGCAACGGTCGACGCACATTGAGAGGGACACTGAAATTACATGTAATTATTACCGATTGCATCTACCCTTTTGACTATGTTCACCCTGCTTCTCTCTCTCTCTCTTTCTCTTTCTCTCTTTTACACACACACAATAATCGTAATAACCCGCACGACTCGTTCGAGTATAAAACTCCAATATCGTCACACAGTTAAGTAATAATGTATTTTTATTTATACGAGTGGAAGAAAAAAAATAAGAATAAAGATCAAAACTTCAACTAGCAATAAATCAATTTTTAAATTAATTAGAATAATTTTGTCACGTAAAAAGAATTGACCTTGTTCTTGGAAAAGTACCTTTCCTTATGGCGACCTTATTTAAGAGTTTATCGGATAGAGGAAATTTAATTACTGTCGTGTAGAAAATTAATTATTTTCTCGGTGCGATACACTTTCTCTTCATGATAAAAAAAAAAGAAAAAAGATAAAAATCAAAGCACCGGGCGATAGTGGTGGTGGTGGTTGTGGTGGTGTGAGGTTTAAGAAAATATAATGAATTAATTATCGAGACGACTAACCTCCCTGCTCGACGTGCATAAAGCTCGTGTCCCTTCCAAGAGCTTTTTCTTTCTTACGCCATTTGGCTCGACGATTTTGGAACCATACCTACAAAAAAAAGGAAACAAATATTATGGTAATAATTAATTTATCTAATAAATTGAATCAACTTTAGAACTAACGAATAAAAAGAACAAATGAATTTAATTCGTTTTATATTATACTAATATATAATATTAGGATCATAACTCGTTTATATTATTATCTTCTTCCCCTTGTTCTTTTTTCTTTCTTTAATAGAGTTTTTCGTTAATTCATTAGCAAGAATTTTAAAAAGAATTCGTAGAAAAGCATTTAAAGGTATCCACTCGTAATTCTCTCGTTAAAAATAAAAACAAATAATAAAATAAATAAAGAGGGAGGAAAAAATAAAGGAATAAAGAAAAATGTCGATCTTAAGCTCAACTTTATCCTTTTCTCATTAAATCATAAGAGAATTTTTTTTTCTAAATTTAATAGTCTCTGGACAAGTATATTTAATTCTTCTCTCTATCTCTCTTTTTCTTTGGAATGAAAAAAAGAAAAAAAAAAAAAGGAGTGGAAATAAAAATTCGAGGTATTAGTAGTCAATAGGGGATACTAGAATTTGTTCGTACTCGTTATGTAATTTTCAACGATTAAATCGCATCCCGAAGCGAGAGAAAGAAGAGATCTTTCTTTAATAAGTAGTAATCTTTTTCTCCTTTTTCTCTCTCTCTATTTTTTCAAAAGAAAAAAGAGAAAGAAAGAAAGAAAGATAAAACTAAACTGACAAGAACGTATGAGAACCTTCGGCCGCGCGTATCAGAGCACCCAACAAAAGCTCGGCTCTCGAGGTTGATTAAGCTAATTGTTAACAATTATCCTGATTTCCTCCGGACCCCCGAGTGGTAGCAGCAACCCCTGCCCTCTCGCTCTCTCCTTCTCTTTTTCTCTTTCTCTTTTTCTTTCTCTTTGTCCCTCCCGTTGCACCCGTTGCCGTATAAATGCTTTCGCTTTCCGCTCGAGTTGTTCGGTAGGATTTTTCGTGGGCATCGTCAGGGACCCCGGCAGCAATAGCAGCCATACTAGCTAAAGCACCAGTACACCAGTAGTACCAGTACCACCAATGGCACCAACAGAACCACCAACGACAGCATCGTCGTTCAACCTTCTATTTCTTTTTCTCTTTTTATACATGTATATAAGTATATATGTATGTATGTATGTATGTATGTATGTATGTATGTATGTATGTATGTATATGTGTGTATACGTTTTACATGCTGCATCCATTGTGTGCCACGGAAATTCAAAATGCTGCCTTTCAGACCGACACTGTTCTACCAACCAGGGTAATAGCAAGCGAATATCGCTTTCCGAATACATGGACACAGTCCCTTTTCTCTCTCACCCCTCTTAGGAAACATTTAACATCGTTAACGAACGATTAACGTTCTCATTTATATTATATCCAAGACGTTTTTATGACATTTTAATGAAAATTGATATTAATATTATTATTTTTTATTATCAACCAGCCTAAAACATTTAATCAAATTTAACAAGTTCTACCTTAAGTGCCAAAAGTTTATTTAAAGAAAACTTCTTAAAAATTCTATTATTACATTATCCAAGAAATCCATATGATTTTTACTGTTTATTTATTTAAAAACAAAAAATTACACGAATTTATAGAACAACCCTAAGTATTCATTAACTGAGAGTATATTTTTACAATGACATTTACTTATCGAAGAAAAAAAAATATTATTTTTAATAATATTATTAACATTTGAAATTAAATTTCAGATCAATGGAAAATAGTTGAAAGCAAAGGTTTATCATCGGAGAAAAGAGAAAGTGCTTACCAGCGAGGAAAGGTAGACAAGAGGTAGAGGGTAAGGTCGACGTCAAGAATCAAGAGAGAAAGAGAAAGAGAAAGGAAAGGAGAGGGGAGAGATACGTCGGGAGAGGTCGGGACAGGAAATTCAATTGCCTAATTGCTGTTAATTATTTAATCGCTCCTGAATACCCTCTAACGCCTAAGTGCTCGCAAACCTTGCAGCGCGTCGTTTAACCGACCCACCGTCAACTCGAAAGTTTAAATCGCCGGCTCGTCTCGAAAACTTTCACTCTGACGACTACGACTACGACGACTACGACGAAAACGACGACGACGAAAAAGACGACGTTACCCTTGTAGCCGGCGGCGGCAATGTGCTGCTGCTACAGCTTCCCCTGCTACTGCTGTTGCTCTCAAACCATTACTAATAAAGTACACAAGAATATTTTCAAATAGAATCAAATTCGAATCTTTTCGACTCTGGATTCAAAAGTAGGAAGAAATTTTTTAATGAAAAAAACTTCACAGTAATAAAACAAAGAAAAAAAACAACGTGAATAAATAAACGTTCAACTGCCTTGTTGAGAAATAAAAAAAAATAAAATATCAGGATGAAAAAAAGAAGAAAGAAATGCCAGTATATAATTGAAAAAGAAAAATAATTCGCGAAATTGGAAAGAAGTGAAACGAACGATTTCCCATTACGACCACCAACGCTGGTGTGTACTACGATCTCTACAGGTCGATCTCACAGAACGATACATACATTCGACGAGACGTTAATACCGAAAAATGGGGTAATTTTGCATCCAGAATCGACGCGCAACGGTGGTAACGTCGATGGTGATGGTGATGGTAGTGGTGGTGTTGGTGATGGTGACAGTTGTACCGGTAGCTAGCCAGCTAGAGATAGATAGATAGGAAAAGAGACAGATTCGGCTGTTGAAGGAGGATAGGATACGCGTGGTAGGTGGACGAGATGAGGGGTAGGAGATAGTGACGGAGAGGAAGGGAGGGAGGTAGAGGGAGAAACGCGGATGAACGGGGGATGAACGCAGTAGATGGAAGAGGGGAGGAGGGTGTAGTCGGAGCGCAGGATTTCCTAGATTGAAATAAAGTGGCCGTGGCACCACTGCGCCGCGGCGGATCATTTAGCGGTTTTGTCGAGCGACGGCCAATTGCTGGCATTGTCGCTTGGCTGTACCACAATGGGCCAATCGGAATGCTCTCTGTCTCTTTTCAGCTCCGCGCCACCCTTCGACGACGGTTCCCATCCAACCCTCTCTCTCTCTCTCTCTCTCTCTCTCTCTCTCTCTTTCTTTCTCGCTTTCTCTCGTACACCATGCTCTCACTCTTCGTTGCACATCTCTCGATTCTCTTCAACCCCCTCTTACCCACCTTGTCCCCCTGGATCCCCTACCCTCTTCCTCTTTTCCCTCTTTCGTCTTGCTCTCCTTCTCACTGACTACTTCTCAGCGACTTTTGTAAGGGTGTCGGAATAGTCGAGCTAATCGAGTAACCGATTTCCGTTCATGAAAAAGCGGCCGATACTCGAGCTAGAACGAATCGATTCCATGAGACGTTGAAAAATGTAGACATTATCAAATATTCACCCGATTGGTTGAATACTTTCAACGAGTAGACTGATTCATAAGTTTTTTTCTTTTCTCTTTTTTTATTTACATCTATTTCTGCATTTTAAGTGGTAATTCTTTGCTAGAGTTATTTTTAATAGACAAGATATTTTTAGAATCTACGACTCAATGGTATCTTTACTAACAGTTAGATTTATGAACATATTTTGTCATCTTCCAATTAACGCGAGATAGCAATTGTCGAATAAAAAGAAGAATAAGAAGAAAACGAGGAGAAGCGAAATAGCAGATTTTCAGGACAATGGCGCGTAATTAGTTGAGTGGCACCCTAACGTGTACTCGTCGTAAAGGTTTCTAACTTAAATGTGTACTTCTGTAGATATATACATATATACTAGTTGAATGATGAACTTATAACTAGGTAGCTTGTCGGATATCATACAAGGGGATGAATGATCGGTAATGCTTCGAATGCATCGAGTGTCCCATCATCTTGGAAATTTTATCGAAGTTTAAGTATAATAAAACGAAATGAAATTTATTCATTTAAATTGTCCTCTAAAAAAATTATACACACACACACACACACACACACAATAAAAGTAACAAAACAGAAAATAATTTTGATTTTTTTTTTGTATCGTGTGCTTGTCTTTTCGTATTTTTTCTTTCTTTCTTGTTCTTGCTCAATCTGTTTCTCTCTTTCTTTCTGTTTTTGTCTGTCTATCTCTCTCTTTCTCACCTGAACTCGAGCTTCTGATAGATCCAAACGCATCGCCAGTTCCTCTCTTGTGAAAACATCAGGATATTGCGTCTTCCCAAAGGCATTTTCGAGTTCGTGTAGTTGATAGGTCGTGAATGTTGTCCTCGACCTTCGAACCTTCCTCGGTCTGTCAGACTCACCGAGATTCAACGAGTCGTGAAGCCCGTCGCTCATTTGATGATCGCTAAGATGTCCCAGCTCGGTGTCACCGTTATCGCCAACTGTATCGGACGACGTCGCATGATCTGCAACCAGCATGCAAAAATATCCAAAGAACGGTTTTTAAATATCAAGGAGAAGAAGAAATAGAAAAACACACAGAAGAAAATAAGAAGAAAAATGAAAATAAAAAATAAAAATTGCATTAAAACTCATCGATGACACCTTACGAGCCACCACTATGAACAAAAGAAATTTTTTATTTGAAGGGCCAGCAGCGCTCGTGTCGTGGTACCTACGTTCAAACCAGGGTTAGAAAAGAGCAAAAAGGGGTGATATATCAAATGATGAAAAGCCTTCGGTACTTGAAGCATCGAATATGAGAGAGAGGGCAAGAGAGAAAGAGAGAGAGAGAGGATGGAGGCGATTAAGCAAAATCGTCCACGCTACCAAAACGAAATTGACGTTTCGTTGATATACGATGAAGTAGAAACGCGGAGAAGGGATGGTGCGGGCGCAATTTCATTTTTAAGCCGCACCAGCCAGCGACCGGTCCCGATATATTCGATACGCTCGATGACGTCCGATCGGCGGATTTGCCAATTTTTAAGCCTCGTTTGCTGCTTCATTTTTTTATATCCGTACTTTTTATATATATGTATATATGTATATATGTATATAGATAGATAGATAGATATATATATATATATATGAGAGCATACGCACGGAGGGATCGAATATGGAAAAGAGAAAGAGAAAAATAGAAAGAGTGAGAGACAGAGAGAGAGAGAGAGAGAGAGAGAGAGAGAGAGTGAGAGAGACATACGCGTACACGTTTTGCGAACGAAACGAGGGATCGATATATGCATAGAGATTATTTCTATATGTACCGCGTCAGTACTTAAAAATCGTTGCTGTCAGTGATTAGTAAATATCGAGAGAACACGACGCACCCCACGGCCTTCGTTAGACCCTCGCACCCCGTTACAAACGGCCGTTTCTATCAGGTCCTACTACCCATCCTTCTCTCTCTCTCTCTCTCTCTCTTTCTCTCTTTCCCTCTTTTCCTTTTTTACTCTCACATTTTGCATTCTTCATCTCTCTTTCATTTTCTTTCTCTTTCTCTTTCTCTCTTACTCTTTCTGATGCTTTCTATCCTTCCACGAACGCAACGACAAGAGTTTAAAACCCCATTAGGGCAAACTACACGCATATAACCTATAGGTAGAATTCCCTTTCCTTCCACTTGCTGCTACCGAGTAGGCGAGAAGTCGTATGAGCACACATGCTACCTCCTCAACTATACTCAGAGAATCGAGTTCGAGGGTGTCGAATCGTTACGAACACAGATCTACACGTATTTGCGAGATAGAAATTAAAGGGGCGCCGATTAATCGGCTTCCACAACTTCTTTTGATCTTTCCGAAGATCTTTCTAGATCCGCATAAGTGTATATTCGTAAATTATTTATTGTTGTATGCGCATTTAACCCCTCTCCTATCCCATCTTTCTTTTCTTTTCTTTTCTTTTTTTTTCTTTCTTACGAGACGTTAAAAATGATTTATGAATTGTGCTACTTTCAATTTGACATAAAAACGGAGAAAAGAACAAAACAAAAAACAATTCATTGAGGTCGACTCGTGTGTTTGAAATTATAAAATGATTAATAAAAAAGGAAAATACAAACGTAAAACTTCTTTCACATATGAGATGATTAATTGACGTACATTATTATTGTTATTATTACTTCGACATCGACCCTCCTCGTAACTAATTTTTTTTTTTTCAAGGCGTATACCTTACATACCACGTTAATTCGCTTTCAACCCTCTTTACGACATCGACCATTATCACGGATATTACCCTGGCACGCTTTCCACGACGTTTATTATGAATTATCGGCGGCTTTAACTCGATAAGCGAATCGCCTTGTTATCAAGAATCACCGATAAGACTTGGAAAATTAACGAATCATAACGTTTTATGAAAATTCAACGTATACATCGTATAATATATTTTTTGCTATAATATGTTATTAAAAGCGTGCGATATCGAAGGCCACGGATGATCAAAATCTGATATTATGATCTAACTTATGTACCACTCACGAGAAAAAAAAAAGATTATTACATAGGTTTATATACTCGTTTGAAAATTAGAAAAAAATATATTTTCTTTTCGATATTCTAAAATGAAAAAGAAAACAAAGTTATTTCTGTTTGAAAAATTTTGAACGTAGTATTTTATTTAGAAACATACGAGTACACGTCTTTTAACATACACGTATGTTGTATCGATACATAAATGATTAAAATAATTACGATGGCCACTATAAAAAGGTTTTTTCTCGTTTGAATTTTTTGTATATCTATTTATTTATTTTACTTCTTTTCTTGTTTTTTTTTTATTTTTTTATCTTTGCAAGCATTGAAAATTCAAAGAACCGGTTAATGAGTAAAACTCTTTCCCGCTTCCGCCGTCTAACTATCTTTCTCATGAACTAATTAGGGTATTTATTACTCGGGCATAATAATGCTAATCCTTCTTTTCGATGCCGTCGTAGCCAACAGTTTAAATAGCTTGCGATGAGTCGGATCTAGAATTGGTGTGCATGTGCACCACGCGTAAGCGTACGAGAAATGGTAAAAGTAAGACAAGGACAAACACAGTCAGAGAAAGAGAGAGAGAGAGAGAGAAAAAGATAGCACCACACGCACGTTTCAACACACACGTTCGATGTAATCGCACTCACATGTTCGTAACAAACACCGTGAGGCTAATCCAAGTTGAATAGAGAGATTTTAATGTTTTTATGCTAGAGCACAATGGGGTACCCACTTGATGCCTAGCTCTCTATTGCTTTCTATTAAATTTACGGCCGGTTCGATAGTTTGTGGTAGGGGTGGATTCAAGTAAGAAGGGTATACACACAGACCAAAAAAAGAAGGAGAAAGAGAGGAAGGATCGATCATTCCGCTGAATAAAAAATTTATTTACCATGGAAAGTGGCCACATGGCTCATGTCAATCTTTGTATCAATCCTTAAAAAAGAAAGGAAAAAGTACATCAAATAATTGTTTCGCTATATTAAATGTTTTACAGGTGATATTGATAATTTAGAACAAAATAATCATTTTATCTGCAATTTTTTTTTCTTTTTTGATTAATACTTATTTATATATAAATAATATTTCACCAATTATATCTAAATCATGTTTAATGATTAATCGCCAACACTTTGTATTAAATGATCAAAGTTGGAAATAAACGTCGTTTAGCTGCTAATTCAATGTTACGAGGGAAAAAAAGGATAAAAAGTATAATAACAAACGTTTGCAAAGCACGAACACGAAGCGTTTGTGTTTAAACCTTTCCTCTTCTGTCATTTAATATTTGTATATGTATAGTATATGTAACACGTTCATAGAAAATTTTCAAACCTCTACGTAATTACAAGCGTAATTCGTAATTTGACTCCAATCGAGGTATCTATTAAATTTATATTTAAACGAATTAAACGTTCCGCGAATTGCGATTCCATATGCAAATGACGAGTATTTGAAGAGAGTGTGTACTTTATTAGAATTTAGTAACTATCTACGCAAATATACATAAGTTATGTGTAAAAGAACATCTTCGATTCTAAATCATTTAAAATGTATTTAACTATCCCTGATTTCCGTACATTAAACAAAATTAAAAAAAAGTTGATTACAACAAACTCGATGGTCAACTTTACTCATACATAGGATACTTACACGCATATACACACTCATACATACTCATACATTTACTCGAGCTCACGCTTACGTTCAACCTCACACAAACACCTACGGTCAAACCCACTAATATATTCGTAGGTTGGTGGGATCATGCAACGATGGACATCGACGTTGGCAACTGCTTTAATTACAACGGATAGCAGTACAGGTGAGATCCGCAACGTCACCGCGATTTCTACCACAATCGAGCAGAACTAATATCCACTGAGCCTACGTTCAATGGACATTGATAACGCGTCCCGGAAGTCGAACATCAAGCTACACCGAGATACAGAAACGCAGAGAGAATGAGAAGGATAGGGAGAAACGTAGAGAAGCTCATTAACACTATAATTAGCTGCTAACACCGATCTAACCACGTTTCCTACAAATGATACTTTTCTTTTCAATTTTAATTCCTTATTATCTTATTTGAACTACCAGGTATTTAGGTGTACGATTCTTTACAAAATTCAATGTTAACGTGATTTTATTTTACTACGAATAAAAGATATTTTTCTTGTGGATAAATAAAAAGAATAATACATTCCATTTTGGTTTAAAAATAAACAAAATAAATATATTTATCTTTCGAAAAAATTTCTATTCGGTAGAAACCTTTCCATAGAATCGAAAAATTGTACAATCGTTTTAACAAAAGATGATGATTCATAAATAAATAAAAGAACTAAAATAGGTTATCGCAAACTTAAGGGATTTTCAAATTTGTTAAGAAAAATTATTATCAAACGAAAACAAATTCTTTGGGATTTAGATAAGGCTTACAATATAATAATAAAAAAATATAATTGTAGCTTAACAATTGTGTCAAATAATTCAAAAATAATAATAAAATCATCGAAAGTATTTAAAATCTTGATGATCCATAGATTCAGTCGATCGATCTATTTGATTAAAAAAAGTATCCACATTTCCAGTCTTAGATAGATATATCTAATGCACACGTGATCATATACTACAACAGTTAGTAATTTTTTAAATGATAGTAATTTAGAATAATGTTTCTTTTGACTTTGGGGAAATAGAAAGAAAAATGTTCGCGTGACGTAACGCGTTTCATAAATCCACACACATTGCATAGGCATATAAATAAATACCTAGATCCTAACCAAAGATTCGCATAACTACGACGACCTAATTACGTTACCGTCGGTACCCTCTTTTCTTTTCTTTTTTTCTTTTTTTTTTTTTTTTTTTTTTACACAATGACTACCAACAATTAAAGCTTTAGTTGCGTGCGTGTATGTGTGTTCACTTCGAAGATCGCTTTATTGTCGGATGTAACTTGCGTGAGAAACTAAACGCGATGCCATTAGATCGCCGATTGATCTATCGATCCTTCCTACTTGCTCCTTCCGTTTAAACGTGGATCGTACTCGGGCGGGCGATCACGTGACTCTACGGGAATACTCGATTACACCACGTTCATCATCATCATACTCCATCAAAGTAAATTTACATTTGCGATAATGAATTGATTAGATTTGCGATAATATTTGTAAAATATAAATTAAATAATTTTTTTTTGTCTCTTTACGAATAAATGACAAATATTTTACCCTCTTAGAAATATAAAATCAAGCGCTAAATTATAAAAGGATTCTCATACTCAAACGAAATACTCAAAAAATGAAGAAACAAAAGTACACAAAAAAAACAAAAAAACAAAAAAAATTGAAATAATTAGAAAGAAATAAAAGAAATCGTACCTTCGTCTTTGGCATGGCCCAAGATCTGATCGATGCTGTAAACGTTTTTCTTCTGATTGTAAGTTTGCGCCATAATATCACCGGCAAGAAAAAACGATTTTTCTTAACTTGATGCTGTAGTTGGAAGCGTGGAGGAGGATGATCCTCCTCACACGTGGATGATTTTCTTCTTCTTTTTCTTTTTGTTTTTTTTAAACGTCGAAGAACTTTTCGCAAATAGGTATAATAAAACGAAACATAATTCAAACAAAACAAAACTCAAATAAATCAATCACGAGTGTCACTCTATCGACGGCGACATATATATACAATATATATATATATATATATTGTATTGTATCTATATGTAGATTCCACAGGGCGTATTTTTGTTAAATTGAACGTCCTATTTTCTTCAGGTCGCACATGTACAAATCGCGAGACGAAAATCGAATTTCCCGCTTTCTTCTGGACTCGTTAATACGTACGAAATATAGTACAGGTTGTGTACCTTATAAACAACCATTCGTACATACGCAATACAAATGCGTACTCGGAATTATATACATGGAAAAGGAAAACAATCAGAATAGGATAGATAAATCGATCAATTGTATGAAAAAAAAAATCAATAAAAATAAATTAATGTAAAATCAAATATAGGTAAAATGTAAATAAATAAAATAAAATGTACGGATATATATATGTAAGTAAGAAATAATAATTAATAAGAGATCGGAAATGTGGTGCAAAAAGAATAGACTGATGGAAAAAATGAAACGTATGAAAAGGATCGAAACGGATATAGAAATAGATTAAAAAATATTAGCTTGTGATAGAAAGCGATAGAAATAGGAATGAAACATCCGTCCCGATGTTCGACGCGACTCTCCACCTTCCAAAGAAAATGCGTCAATCGACGGCGCACCACCAACTGGCTCGTCGGACATGAAAGCAGCCCTTAATATCGCATACACCCGCCCCACCTCGCAACCCCTAACACCGCCATATTAGCCCCTCGGCCAATGAGGGTGCGCGCTTTTCACCCAAAGCCACCCCGTTGTCGGGGGTTGAATGAGGCCTGGGCGGGGAATATTTTGCCCTTTCCGCGTAAATCCCCGGATTTTTTCTACCTTCTCCTACCCTCTCCACTTCCTCCTCCTCTTCCTCTTACTCTCTCTCTCTCTCTCTCTTCATCACTTTTCCCCTTCTTCTCTTCCTACCTGGAAAATCTCTTTCTCTCTTTTACATACACCACAGTCACCATCTTTCTTTCCTTTTCTATCTTCGATCCTCCCACAACATTTTCCCTCTTCTTCTTTCTTCTTCTTACTTCTTCTAGGATATGTGTATATTCATCTTTATTTAACTTTCGTATAACCGTTCCAATACACACACGCTCGCGTACCTACTGTCTCTTTTTAACTCTTCAAACAATCCTTCACCGATCGACAACAAGCTAAATTTCGGTGATCGACGATAATTCGCCACGATATCTGCTCTAGGAGAATTTCGTTTCTCGAGGATCATCGTTCGTTCTATTCTTACTCCGATCGAAGTGGTGTCTACCAATGAATCGGATATCTGTTTCGTCGTCCTCACCTTTCTCCTTTGCTAGACTACCTGTTCTTCTTCTTCCCTTCCCTCTTTTTTCTTCTTTTCTTTTTCGTTTAATATTTATTGTTTTTTTTTTTCATATAAATTTCTAAACGTTATTTACTCTTCTTTAGGGAATTTTTGATTTTGTTCTTTTGCTAATGGGAATTACCGAATTGTATTGTTCTATAGGATTTTAACGCAATTATCGTTGGAGATAAATATTTTGTTATAATGCAGGTGGTTCGCATCACTGAACGTTACCTACGGGACACGTGCTCTTCACATATTCGATATCTGGCAGCTGTCGAGATTAGGATATCGTTCGATTAAGTATAAATTTATTATACGAGTTTCCCTATAATAGCTAATAAAATTTATCTATTATCTTCATCATAGACGACTTTGTTTTTTATCACTTCTTTGAATTTTTTCTTATGTTAAAGTTCAGTTTAAAAGTAGAGAAAAATTCTTTTATTTATAGTGCTTGATGTGTTCAACTAAGTAAGTAAAATGAAGCGTAACTGTTAATCCTGTCTAAGTGCTACTGGTATACGCTAATTGAAATGGAAAAAGATAAGAAAAAAAATATTCATTTAAAGAGCACAAAATCGTACTATTTCTTACAATAAGATTTACCTTTCTTTAGACTAATCCTTCATCCTTTTAAGAAATAGGTTCATGGGTCAACAAAATAATTCTTTTTTACCTACTTTCTAATCCAAAACCACAACAATCATATTTTCCTAAGTAATCCACTTTTACTGATCTTTATCCTTAAATCTTTTCCATGAGTCTTCTACTAATATTAAGAATTAGGCTTCTGTTCACCATTATTCACACTATCTTCTCTTATGTATGTAAATAGAGTATATGAATGACACCATCCATCATGGAGCCTTTAACATTCTTTCCTTTCCAAAGATATATTAAATAAGACATCTTTTCGAATATCCATTACTGCTCAACATAAACTTCCATTATAATAACAACACATTTAGTCTAAATTTACTAGTTTAAATTGTTATTGAAATTTTTTTTTATTTAATATTTATTTATACAAGATATTCCTAATATATAGACACCTAAATGAGATTTTTTGTGTCTAGAATTTAAGGGCACCCTATATATATATGTCTACTTGAATTCCTCTTATACCGAAACCAAATCATTCGTGTTATTGTTTCCTTAAAAAATATTAATTTTTATAAGGTTAGTTAAAATCATTTTATTTGACAAATACTAAAATTTATACTAGTTTTAACTGAATGAAGTGCTTTAATATTTTATCTGGCAATTTTTTTTTTTATTATAATATGACAAAATCAAAGTTCGCCGATGTCCAAAAGGAAAAAGGAAAATTAATTTCCACTAGGGACAATACAATAATAAAAATGCAATTGTTATTTTAAATTCTGTAATCACAAAACAAGTCCAGATAGTAACAAAATAAATTAATATTTTCTTATCTTTATTTGCAAAATAAAAAGTAAAATTAAAAATAAACAAATATTATCTTCTTATTACTAAAAATGAAAAAAAATTCAATCCTTCGAGTATAATTGGCATGGATTGTAGAAATTAATTTAACAATAGACAAACTCGTCAATACCCATTTCCCATTCAAAATAAAACAATAAGAGAATAACAAAAGTATTTGTTATAAAAGAAAAATATAGAGGAGGGGGGAAAAAGAAAAGAAAAAAAAAAGGAAGAGAAATTTTGTTGAGAGAGAGATGTTTGAAAAAACATGGAGAGAGGTCCGATTAAAGAGTAAAACGAACGTATATGTGTATATAAATAAAAATATACATAGTTCCTATAGACTAGGAATGAGAATGAGAGAAAGAGAAAGAGATAGAGATAGAGAGTCAGGTTAACTTTATGAACAACAAGGTAAAAAGAGGAGAATAATGAAGATACAAGGAGGGTGGTGACTTTGAAGAGCCATCCGGCGATGATTAAATCTCTCTCGGTTTATTTGGCCGCACAAAGCTCACCAAGCGAATGGCACAAGATCATAGTAGATGCGATGCCATACCAGAGCGTATAGCGTGCTTTATAATGCAAATAAACCGTCGCATATAGGGGCCACTACTTGACTGCTCTCTGTCAGGACAGATAACAAAGTTTTGGTATTATACCTGTAACGGGACACAGCCGTTAGGTATCCATCCATCTATCCATCCATCCTATGGAGCGCATGAATTTTGGAATAGGTTAAAACAAAAAAATTTCACACTTCGTGTGTGTATGTGTTAAAGTTAGAACAAACTTTTTCATACAAACTCTACCGCCAGTATAATAATCATGGATGATAACGCACCGATTTTCATACTGAAAGAGAGACCAGAAATCATTTTCATCCTAAAACTCCTACCATAGTTAACCTTCTAAGAGAAGAATTATTATATTATAATTTACCATAAATGATAATATCTTCATTGTAATAACGGTAAATAAATATACAATTTACTTACTTTTCAGGCTTGAATTTTTGCCAATTGAAAATGAAAGAAAAATTGAAAAGATATATTTATTTAGTTTGAATTTAATTTGCTGTAAAGCATTACGACGAATTGACTAGTCATCCCAGTTAAAGGGCTAAAATCAATCAACGACGTATTAAGGATGTTTCTTTCAAGAGAAATATTTTCTGAAAAGAGAATATCTAAGTATTTAAGATTAAGTTTAAACGAACAGAAATGCTATATCATCCATAAGATTATCTTATATCTATTATAATTGTTGGACATTTAAAAAATGCTCTAATAAGTACAGATTTTTTCATCAAAATGTTTATAAATCTATCAAAATCGTACTCATGTTCCGTTTAATCTCAATTTATCTTCTTGCTGTAATACCAATTTGCACGGAACTAATTGCAGAATGTATAATCAAGCGCATTAAGGCAATTCTAAATGCTATTTAGAATTGTATATATATAATACATATAAATACGTACATACATATATAAGTATATACACATATATATATATATACATGTACTATGTACTATATCATGTACTATATATTATGTACTATATATATATATGTAGATATGTATCTGATATATATATCATAGACACATAGGTGGATATTCAAAGGTAATACTCATGATCATAGAAGCCAAAGATAAATGGATCTCTAATAAGCTTAATTATCAATAAGAAAGTTCTGATGGTATGCTTCATACAAACTAATTAACGTTAATCCGGATGTCCATTAGTCTCTCCCTTTATCTATCCATCTCTTTCCTAATCTCATTCTGGTATTTAGGTAGTTCGCTCCTCTTTCTTCTTGTTCGAAAATCCATTCGGAAATATCGCATTAAACGTGAGAAAATAATATTAATATTTACATAGTTTTTTTTATATATTTATTTATTTTTGTGTAAATTAACAAAATTAATTAATACGATCAAATTGTAATACGTTCAATTCTTAATATGAAGAAAAAGAGAGAGAGAAAGAGACAAAAAAATAAGGATCGTTCTCTTTGACACGATTTTTCTATACCAATCATTCGTGAGTATAATTGCTAGATCGTTGCATTCGGGATACGTAAAAGGAATCGAGAAACGAGGTAAAAGGAGTCGACGTTCTACAATAAGCAACATTAAATCTGCAAAAGAAGAAGGGAAATTCTCCTTTCAAGAATGAGAGAGAGAGAAAGAGAAAAGGAGAAGAAGTGGAAAGGAAGCAGATACAATTCACAAAGGATTCGTCGGACCGGCCAAAAGATCAAACGGTTACCACCCTCTTCGTCGCTTCCGTCAGCCATAACTAACGTACCTTGCTAAAGTGTCGAAAGTTAAATCATCTTTTTAAAAAACAAAATGAAAATATTTCATTCTTAAATCGTGTGGTCATCTTGTAAAAAAAAAAGAAAAACAAATAAATAAATACAAATAAAACATTTAAGTCGGCAAATTTTTACAAATAATAATTCAATATTTAATTTTTAATTGCATTATATTTTAAGGAAGGTATAAATAAGAAATGATACCCTAAGTAAAAATATTTACTATTCGTTATTAATTTTTATTAATATAAATATATTATTATACTTAAGTAGATACAAGTTTTCTTGGCATATTCCACTTTTTTGGTAAAGTTCTAAAGGTTGAAGAATAAAATTCTACAATAATTTGATATATCATCCTTTCTCATGTTGTTTACATATCAAATATCTCGTTAATCTCTTATAACGCATCCAATAAAAATTTTATTATCTTGTTACTTGGTTTCTCTTAACCTTAGCGAATCAAATTGACGGAATTCCTTTCTCTTGACAAAAGAGAAGAAAAAGAGTATCACATCGT